TATATATACATAATCTTTCCCATGAAATCTTTCTCTAGAAAAAGTCCTTGGTATTATCGTAAACACTAAAAAAGCTACACTTTTAAAATGAATTACCAGAAAATGTTGCCAAGTAAAAGAAAAAAAAACATAATACTATAAAATGAATAATTCTACTAAAATTGAAGAACAAATCTGGGTCCAGATGATTCTTTTTCTGGATCAGGATCTGGATCTTTGTATTACCCCCTGTTGTTGTGTTGGGTCCCAGTTAAAATCTGAACTTCCATTGTAGCTGTAGTGCACAGTCAGATCCAGTAGGAGGCGGTAAAAACTCTAAACCGGTATTGTGTTCTACTGAATTAATTGAGAAGAAGAAGAAAAAAAAGACGAAGAAGAAACCGAGACTTCTGGTTCTACCGCAACACCGATCGAGCGGCTCGTAAACAAGTCTGTGTAAAGTCTGCTATCCGAACTATAAATAAGAACCTGGGGAGTCCGGGGGATCGCTGCCCCCCCTGCGGACCCCATGCAGGACCGGACATGGCTGAGAGACCAGAAACCGAGGTAAGGTCAGGGTCCGGATGAAACTGAAAAGTACTCCTCACTTTCATCATGTTTTGATTTGTCAAAAACACACCCAGAACTTCACCAAAAGTCTGGACCGGACTCTAAAAAAACACAATAACAAGAACCAACAGCAGCTGAAGTGGGTTCGGTTCGTTCCGGATTCTGATGCAGAATCATCTTCTATCATCATATCAGTTAGTTTTTTTCTTATCTGACTATACTGGTATAATAAGACCATACCATTTAATGTAAGTATAATTTTAGGTGCAGTAAGATCACAGTACAGGTGGCATGGTGGTGCAGCGGTTACCTCACTACTCTCTGTTTCCACTCCTGCTCTTTCTGTTTGGAATCTGCATGTTCTTCCCGTGCAGGAGTGGGTTTTCTCCGGTTTCCTACACAGAGCTAAAACCATGCATGTTAGGTTAATTGTACCGTGGTGAAGGTGTTTGTCTCCATGTGTCCCAGTGATGGACTGGAGACATGTCCAGTTTGTCCCCCCATCTTGGGACTACTGGTGAAAGGCATTTGCAGCCAGTAAAAGCAGGTGAAGAAACGGACAGAACATTATGAAAATTGTTTAGCCAGTTTTTCGCAGACCGCTGAACGTTTGCCAGTTTTTACCTTTGAAAGAATCAGGCTCTAAAAGGCTGTTTTTAGACCTGTGATTTTGTGAAACACACCTACATTTACTGTGACTTCAGCCAGACAAGACACTTCTCCCACCTCGCCTGCTGCTGCTGGTGGTGGTGCATGGCAGCCCCTCTGTCAGTCTATGTAACTTTTTTGTGGCTTTGCCATTTATTTTCTAACAAAAGGTCAAACTTTTTGTCAAATATCGGCCAACAGACTGTGGGACACCACTGTCAATTTCTACTCAGCAAAAACCTGCACAGTTTGGTCGGGTAAATTAACTACACCTTTAAATAAATGGTTAATTAACCTTGAAAACATCATTAGTTAAGGATAATTCATATGTAATAAGCTATAACGCATTTATTAATGCTTTACTCATAAAAAAGAAAAAAAATGTAAGGTCTTCTGGACAGGTTCTTCTCTAATGAAACGTTTCGTCTCTTCTCCAAGAGACTTCTTCAGTCTGAGAGTTTCAGGCAAAATTGAGGCTTTTAAGCCCTGCCTCCATGTGACTGATACTCACATCACAAAGCAAAGCATGTGACTGATACTCACATCACAAAGCAAAGCAGCCACTGTTCAAAAGAATGTCCCAACACAGACGAGCTACATCTAATGGCCAGAACTCTGCAGTTTTCACTCATTTACAGGCCAGCGGTCACTCTTTCAGAGATGAGGATGTTCTCATTCTTGATAGGGAGGAACGTTGGTTTGAGAGAGGAGTAAAAGAAGCCACTTTTGTGAAGAAAGACCGTCCATCATTAAACAGAGGTGGAGGCCTCCGTTTTCAGTTGTCCCCCTCCTACAGCGCTGCCATTGGCAGTATCACTCCACCCCCTGTTAACAATAGGTGTTAATTAGGTGTCAACGATAGCCATGTGATGGGAGTATCAGTCACATAGAGGCAGTGCTTAAAAGTCTGAATTTTGCCTGAAACTCTCAGACTGAAGAAGTCTCTTGGAGGAGAGACGAAACGTTTCATTAGAGAAGAACCCGTCCAGAAGACCTATACAATTTTTTTCTTTTTGATTTTTTACCTGGATTACTGAGATGCATCAGGACATTTACTCATAAAGGCTAATTCTGAAACCAACGTACTCATTGTTTATTCATGTTTAACTCATGAATTAACTGTTTTATATACTGTTTGTATAATTAATTAATAATTGTGTTAATTTTATGAAGCATTCACACAGTTAAAGTCATGTCCAAAACTTTCATCTCCTTCAGGATACTTCGGCTATGATTTTTGGTACTTCAGCTACTCTCTGAAATGTTTGGCCTTTTCAGCCTTTTTTTTTTTTTGTTCTTATTGAAGCTGAATGGAGCTGTTTTCAACATCCTTAAAACCCTTCAAAATAGTGAAACCTTTCTCACACTTTTCACCTTTTGTTCTGGTTCTGTTTTTTTTTTAACTTCTTTGTGACAGTTTCTTCTAAGCTTCCTTTGGCTTTTTGCTGTGAATTTTAGCTTTTTTATGCTATTTCAGCTATATTTCTCTTTACAGCTATTCTTTTAATTTGAACTTTTTTGTGTTTATATCAACTGCTGTCTGCTAAATTCAGCTGATTCTTTTTGCAATTTAAGCTACTCTTTAGCTATTTTCAGATAGTTTTGCCTTTTCTTCATCTAAAGTCCCCTTTTTGCGATAATTTCAGCTTCTTGCTGCTTAACTGAGCAGCTCTTTCTGCTTCTTTGTGCTAGATTCAAGTTTTTTCAGCTACGTTTTAGCTTTTTTTGTCTATTTCACAATCATTTACAACATTTTTATATTCTTTTCTGTATTTTTATGCAAAAATCTTCTCACAGAAAATGCAAATTTTAGTTTCTTGTGTATTCTTATCATTGTGCATTGCCAATGCAATGCACACTATTGTGATTCGTTTCCCATCCAAGTCATCTCAACTTTGCCATGCTTCTCCTCCTGCATACGTTGTCCTAGAGCTGCCATTCTAATTTATATCTGTAAAGTCCCTGTGCCAAATGATGGCTATGCCTTTTGGTGCCTGTAAAACTTATAGTTTATGAAATATTAATGTTTAATGAATTATAATGGCAGTCAATGGAGCCTTGTATTGGTCCAATACTGCCCCATGCTGTTTTACTATAATATTGTCTTAAACTGCTCTATTGTTGTAATATTATGCATTTTTGTGTCAATAATTGTATTGACAA